TGGCAACAGTGTGTTCTAACAGGCTGAGGACAGAATTGGGTCCATCAGGGAAGAGGTTCCCACAAGGGTGATCTTGCCTCCAATATCTTTTTTAAAAACATATTTTTTTATTGACTTGAGAGAGGAAGGGAGAGGGAGAGACAGAAATGTCAATGATGAGAGAGAAGCACTGATTGGCTGCCTTCCCCTCTCCCCATCCAAACCCCAGTCCTGGGCATTTGCCCTATCCCGGAATTGAACCATGGCCTCGGGTTCATAGATCGACGTAAAACCACTGAGCTTAAACCGGCTGGTCTGCCTCCAGCATCCTGATCGCCACACATAAAAATCACCCAATAAATCGACCCTCAGAGAATGACGGTATAGAAGGGAGGCACCTGCTCCAGAGCTAAGCCCCAGCTAACTCCGGCTGTAGGTGTGAGGAACTCAGGTTTCTTTGGAAAAAGGCAAAGTTCCCCAGAAGGTCACCGCCCAGAATGTGAAATATGGAGAAAATGCAACATGAAAGTTGAGGGTGAGGAGGGCCTGAGCAGGGGAATGACTTCTAGCTGGCTGCTGTGGGGGCATTTCATAGACCAGGCATTTGCTCTGGGCCCTAAAACAGAGACTGAAATGGAAGTGGGGGGCGGGGTAGTGAGATGGGAGAACTGAAATTGGGGGGTGGGAGCGAGTTGTTAAGTATCCCAGGAAGTCAGGGTTAAAGAGCAAATGGAAGGAAGGAAGACATGAAGGGAGAGCACAGCATGTGCTCACAGGATGGAAGTGCAGTGAAAGGTTCACACATTTCTATTAACTCATGTCATTCTTCTAATGGTTTACAGTGTAGGAAGGAGTTTGACAGTCTATCGCCATTTCATCTTCACAACAGTTAAGCGATGGACTAGAGTATCTCTGTTTTACAGATGAGAACACCGCAGCCCAATGAGGGACAGTGACTTGCCTAAGATCACACAGCACATAGCAGAGGGACAGGAACCCAGGCTCTTGGATTTAAATTGTGTTCTCTTCCACCGCCCTCTTGTTACTGCCAAGAGCGGGGGAGCTATGGGAGAGAAGGTTGGAATGAGACCCTTGGGGCCCCAGAGTGAGCATCAATTTGAATGTGGGGCTGAGGACTCTGGGAGAACTCCGAGGGTTCCAGGGTGGACCTGAATGTTAGGGAGGTCATCAGAGTTAGGGAGATGACCCTCGTGCAGAGGAGGCTGTGGCTACCCCGGCTGGACCTGGAGTGTGAAGACATGACTTGGTTCAAGGAAGGAAGACCCAGAGGAACATGTGAGGCAAAGGGGGATTGGAGGACAGGGAAGACCTTACCAGGGAGGGGGCTGGAAGTAGGACCAGAGAAAGCTGGGGTGGGGGGAGGAAGCAGTATGGAAGGGGAGGCCAGGAGTTTTGCTTGTACGTGGGTGAACCTGCGGATTGGATTGTAGGGAAGTGGGTTTGGACATCACCTGTCCAGAGGGGATGCCTGGAATCACAGGGGATGAGTATTTTGAGTCAGAGAGGGGAATGGGCCAGCCCTGAATTACTGAGAAAAACCTCGGGAAGGCTCTGTGTTCTGCTTAGCATTACAGGAAATATGTGACACATCTTAGAATGGGATTCGTCAAGAGCAGTTACAATAAAAATTATACTTCAACAGGTGGAGCTTTATTTCACCTATTTGGAGGAGAGCACTCCCAATCCTTAGCGGCTTCGGCTTTGAGGTACAATAGAATCCCTAAAATTAAAAGTTAAAAAAAAAATCAAAGAACACTTCAGAGATGTAAATGACAATTTCACTGGTAAATCCTAACGCTGGGGAATTTCTCCTAGGCAGAGAATCATTGATGTGTGCAAAGAGTTAGCTACGCAGTGTTGCTTGCAATTATGAAAAAATGGAAATAACCTAACTGTCCTACAATTTGGGATAAATTGGGTGAAATTTTATTTATCCTTATGCTAGAATAATATGTATCCATTGAAAATAATACTGCAGAAGTACATTTCACAACATGGAAAGATGCTCATTATATCATATATACATGCACACATATGGATGATTACCTGTGAATTAATATAAAATCCTTGTTTTAAAGCACTTTTTTTAGTCTCCTGTTGCCTTCATAGGGTCATTTTGGCCAATTTCTCAGACCACAGGAGATGCAAACTTCCTCTCCCTAATCTCATTCTGAGTTTCCCAGCGCTGGCTGTGTCAGGTTCTTAGGGACCATCCATTTGCTGCACAGAGAACAGACTTCAGAGCTCAGGAGCCAGTTGTTTCTGCGCTTGCTCAGAAGGTCTTGATCTCCCATTTTGCTTCACACCCAGCGAGGCTCATGCCTCACAGTTCCTCCTGCCTCTTCCAGCTTCTGCACCCTCCACCAGCATTGGCTTAACTCATCCAACTCCTCTGTGGGAAGGAGTGGAGTGACTGACAGGTGGAACACTGCATCCATGTGTCTAGTGTAGCCTGCATCCTTGCAACTGGGTGCTGCTGTGGAGGGAGGCCGGGGTGAAGGGCCTGACACAACCGGCCTCGCCAGGAAGAGCAAGCTACTGAGTCAGCAGCTTTGGGGAGGTGAGGGAAGGAGTCCGCTGGGCCAGAGCTCTGAGAGGAAAAGTGAACAGAGCCCAGCCTCTAGGAGTACACAGGTAAGGCGAGGTCTAAGTCGTAAGCACAAAAGTTAACCAGCTACCCTTTCCCTATGGCCTGGGAGTGTAGCTAGTTAACTGAGCCCTCTGGCTCTCCAACCCTTTGGCCGGACCCTTAGCCAGCCCTAAGGAATCTGCCCAGGACCTCTGTGGGCCAAGCCTCGAGGACCCAGAGACAACACCAGTGCTGCCACCGACGAGCTCCCTCGCAAGGGCCACCTTAAGGCTGTGGTGCTAGGAGAGACCAAGGACCCCACCCCTGCTCGGCCCCACAATTTAACACTCCTGGCTTCCATGAAACCCTTCTTTATTTACTCTTTCCCCGAGGCCAGCTGTGGGGCAGTCCCAAGGATGCAGACAGAGAAGGGGGGAGACATGTCTCCCTGGTCACTCTTAGACGCTCGCCGGGGATTTCGCAAACCGCAGAGCATCTGCTGCCCAACTGGGGCATGGTGCTTTGCAGATATATCTCTGGGTCGCTGTACACCGGCGACGAGGTGGGGCTATTATTCTGAGGTTGAGGACATTGAGGTGCCGGAGTCCTCTGGCGGGCTGCCCCATCCGTGGCCGGACTGAGATTCCCTCTCGCCCACCTGCCCCAGGCGGCAGCCCGGACAGAGCGGGGGTTCCTTTCCGTCTGCAGGGCAGGTGGGTGACCCGAAGCTGGGTCACCTCTCAAGAAGCGGGCCATGAAGCCCTCCCTCTCTAACACCGCACTCGTGGGCTGGAGGAACCGGTCGGTCTTCGGGAATGTAATCCCGGTGTCCACTCTGCAGGAGGAGGCAGGTGCCCGGTGCCCCCCTCACCTGCCTTCCTCCGGGGACAGACGCCTTCACCCCCCGAGAGGAGGGCGAGGAGCCGGCCGCTGGCGCTGCCGGCGGGGAGAACGCGGGCCGGGAGGACCTGGGGCCGGAGCGGCGGCTTTCCTGGAGAGCCCATCGCGGGGAAGCGCCGGGCGGGGAGAGAAGGCTGGCGGGCGGCGGCGGCGGCGGCGGCGGCGGCGGGGGCGGGGAGGAGCAGCCGCCCTGTACTTCCCCTTCGCCGCTAGCTCTACAACAGCCTGATTTCCCCGAAATGATGGGGCTGCGCCGGCCAATGGGCGCCGGGGGAGGCGGGGCCGGGCCGGGGCCGGGGGAATCCCGCTAAGTGTTTAGATTGCGGGCCGGCGCCGCTGTCCCGGCAGATCGCGCCGCTCCTCTGTCGAGGCAGGACCTGCGTCCGCGCTCCGCCGAGCCGAGGCCAACGGGAGCCGAGCCCAGCCAGCCGAGGCCAGCCGCGCCCGTGGCCCCGCGACCCGGCGGGCATCCTCTGCTCCCCGCTCCCGCCCGGACTCCCCTCCCCGCCTCGGGACCTTCGGAGACCGGCGCCGGTTCGCGCCCGCTGCAGAGGTGAGCCTGCCTCCGCCGCGGGATGGGGGGTGGGGGTGGGGGTGGCATCGAACAAAGACTCGCGGGGCACCGGGAAGTGGGGGCTGCAAACCCCGGGCGGGAGAGCCGCGGGCGGGCGGCGTTGCCCGGGCTCCCGCGCGGACGCGGGAGGGCGCGGGGGGAGCGGCGGCTGCAGCGCGGGGAGGGCGGGCCGCGCGCGGGCTGGCGGGCGCCCGGCAGCGCCCGCAGATCGGTGCGCGCGGAGCCCTCCGGGGGCCTCGGGAGCGGGGTCCTGCTCGCAGCGCGCACCCACGAGCGGTGCCGGGGTCTCGGGTGTCCGTCCGCGCACGGGGGCTCTGTGGCCCGCGCCCAGACCCCGGGTTTCGGGCTGACGGCGCAGGTGGCAGGGCTGGGGCTTGCCTCCCCGGGCGGCTGGGGAACCTGCTGGAGCAGCGGGAGGAGGCGTCACAGGTGTTTGGTTCATGTCGCCGCCGCCGCCGCCGCCGAGGGCGGGAGCCAGGCTGGAAGGGTTGCGCCTCGCGGCGGCCGCTGTACGATTGTGGGCGAGGCTGGGGGGAGAGGATGTCTGCTCGCCCCTTAGGGAAAGTGCACAGCTTTATCTATCTTAAGTAGGAAAATTTTTTGGCATCGAGCAAAAGAAGCCCCTCCCTTCCCAAAGGATCTGAGTTTGGGAAGAAAAGTTTTGGTATTAAGATACCCGTGTATTTTTGTCTCTTTTTTCTGCACCTAAATCCTGCAACGATCACCAGTCTTCCCAGGACTGCCCAGGAGGGAAGGGGCAGAAATGGTGTTGCCTGAGATGTTAAAAAGATTTGGAGGGCAATTTTATCTCAGTATAACCCTCCTCCCCCATGACGGCATTGCCTGCTGCCTGTTGGAGGGCAGGGGGCGGGGGTACCTGGGGTGCAGCGAAGTAGTGCCCAGGGGCTGCTCAAACAGACTCACACAACAGCCTTCTGTCTTCTCTTTACAGCCAACATGCCCATCACTCGGATGCGCATGAGACCCTGGCTAGAGATGCAGATTAATTCCAACCAAATCCCAGGGCTGATCTGGATTAATAAAGTGAGTGTAACACTTTGGGGTTTTTTTTTTCTGCCACGTTTTAGCCCTTGTTCTTGGGGGGCGGGGGGACCAAAGCTCCAGATGCAGCTCAAAAAGGGAAGTGATAGGGGGAGGCAGATGTGTTTCCCAGCGGGTTCTGCATGCAGGGAGTGTGCAAGGCCCAGCCCTGGGCCTCCCTTGCCTGACTTCTGCCTTCCTTCCTTCTTAAGGTAAGCTCAGGGCGCCTACCCGAGGCCACTGACAAGTGTCCAGCAGCTAGACTTTCCCAGCATCCGAAGAGCAGGAGCTCTGATCTCTCCTGAGGGAGACCCGTAAACATCCACCCAGCAGGGCTCTGGTCAGACCAATGGCACTGCCTGTAGGAAGGTGACTGGCTCACCAGGTGACCCAGGAGTTAACCTTGCACCAGTTGTCCAGGCCCAAGAAACCTCTCGCAGGTGAATAAAGGGCATCACAGGCTTTGCAGATCTAATAATAACAGTATTCATAATAATAGCTACTGCATACTGTCCACTCGCTACAAGTGAGTATGGCAACATGCTATGTACGTTGCTTACATTGTGTCATTTAACCCTCAAAATAGCCCTGTGAGCTAGATCCTTTCATGTCTCCCTTTTTAGATAAAGAAAAGGAGGCACTGGGAGAGAAGATAGGTAATGCCTCTGCTGCCAAGACTTGAACCTGAGCAAGTTGACTCAGAAAGCCATACCGTTAAGCCACCAGTAACGAGAACAGGGAGACCTTACATTTGCCACTTCGTTTTCTTGTTTCATAGAAAACAGTGAGGGACAGCGTTAGAGTGCCAGGGCCAGGGCCACATAGGTAGTCAGCGTCCGAATCTGGCCCAGGGCTTCCTCAGGGGTACGGCCAGAACCCCCAGTGTAGGAGCCAGTGGCCCTAAGGTGTCCTGAGCAGCCCCATCTCATGGACGGAGTTCTCATTTCCACGTTGATGCTGACCAGCCAGAGAAGCATCCCACCCAGCATGTCTGTATCAGTCAGAGGGAGGCTTTTGCTGAGCTGATGGTGCCACAGCTCCTTCTGAGAGATCCAGAGTGATGCAGCAGCCTGTTTAAGCCAATCTCAGGATGGGTCAGCCCAAGCCAGCTGTCAGGATAAAAAGGGGAAGTCAGCCTTTTCCCAGGCCGGGGTGGCTGGGCAGACTCAGACTAAAAGCCGGTGGCCTCTCAGCTGACACAACCTTCTCTGCCTGTGTGTGTGCTGTTCAGGAGGAGATGATCTTCCAGATCCCATGGAAGCACGCTGCCAAGCATGGCTGGGACATCAACAAGGACGCCTGTCTATTCCGGAGCTGGGCCATTCATACAGGTATGGGACACTTGCCCAGGAGGAGCCAGGGAGGGTTGGGGGAGGCACTTCTGTTAACACAGAGGCTCTAACTGGGCTTTCCGAGCTCTCCGCCATGGCATACAGAATTGGGGGCGGGGGCAGAGGGCAGACCTGCATTTCTTTGGAGAGGGGCCGTGGTTTCAAAGAGTTTGTGGCTGGATTAAAGTTCTCGCTGGCAAAAGCAGCTGTGAGCCAAGATAGTAAGAGGGACCCAGGCCTTCTTTTCCGGAGGTCCTTGGCTAAAGGCCCATCTTGCTGGTGGCCTCCTGTCCGCGAGGGATGGGGTTCTTGGCCCATCTCGGACCAGTCAGCACACCGATCAGTAACTGAGCTTTGATGCCCACTCCTTACCCACTCCCATGCTTGGAAATATCAGACAAGCCCCAGCCCCTACCCTCTGGATGCTGACAGCTGACGCGGGGAGCCTGGGCATGGTCCAGGACAAAGAGCACTTTCGGGTATGGGAGCGCTCTCGTGCTCCCAGCTGGGCCCTTCCGTGAGGCTTGCTGGGTGTGTTTGTACAAGCCTGGGCATTTGAGAAACCCAGGGTCTAGGGCCAGCAGAGTGTCACGCAGGAATTCCTGCTGGTCTGACCTGTCCAGTGAGGATCTCTGGCAGCCTGAGAGCTCGGGAAACTCTTGCCTTCCTCCTCCCAGGCCAGCAGGCAGTGGAGGACCCCCACCCATGGCCCTGACCATCCTCTTCTCTCTCCCGCCCACTAGGCCGGTACAAAGTCGGGGAAAAGGAACCAGATCCCAAGACATGGAAGGCCAACTTCCGCTGTGCCATGAACTCCCTGCCAGACATTGAGGAGGTGAAGGACCAGAGCAGGAACAAAGGCAGCTCGGCTGTGCGGGTGTACCGGATGCTCCCACCACTCGTCAAGAACCAGAGGAAAGGTATCCAAGGGCTCTGAGTCCTCAAGAAGCCCGCAGGCAGGGAGGGAGGGGGAGAAAGAAGGAGGGAGAAGGAGGGAGGAAGGCAACTGGGGTTGGTGTGCCTGTACCAAGGCTCATAGCCTATCTCCTCCACAGAGAGAAAGTCCAAGTCCAGCCGAGATGCTAAGAGCAAAGCCAAGAGGAAGGTGAGTGCGGCCCTAGGCAGCCAGTCTTTGGCCACCTGTGAGTCAGGCTGGGCCGTGGAAGAGGCGCCCCGGCAGCCTGGTCTAAGCTTTTCTCCCTCTGCAGTCGTACGGGGACTCCAGCCCTGATACCCTCTCCGATGGCCTCAGCAGCTCCACCCTGCCTGATGACCACAGCAGCTACACAACACAGGGCTTCATGGGGCAGGACCTGGAGATCGAGCGGGCCCTTACTCCAGGTGAGAGGGACGCGGCCTGGCAGAGGCCATACAGGTCGGAGGGGGTGGGGGTGGGGCAGCTCTTTCTCTTGGATCTGGGAGGCACCGTGCTTTTGGGTGGCCTGCTGGAGCAGGCCACGGGGTAGGGGGTGCGGGGTGTTCTGCAAACTAAGAAAGCACACAGCTCTGACCTGCGCTTTCTGCTGTCCTAAAGCTCTGTCACCATGTGCCGTCACTAGCACGCTTCCCGACTGGCACATCCCCATGGAGATGATGCCCGACAGCACCAGCGACCTGTACAGATTCCAGGTGTCGCCCATGCCCTCCACCTCTGAAGGTTGGTGCTTCTGGGGCCTCGCTCGCCTGCCTGACTGTTGGGGCCTTGGGAGGGGTTTCCTGGGAGAGGAAAGGTGCTCAGAACTCAAGAGCTGGCTGCGGCAGGGCAGAGAGGAAGGGGCCAGAGGCTGCATTTTGATCTCAGGTTGCTGATTCTCCTGGCTCCTCTGCAGCCAGGCTCGGAGGGTGAGGAAGGAAGTGAGGGAGTAGAAAGAAGTGTGGCTTCAGGGATTGGGAGGCGGAGTCAGCAGGACAGTGTCCTGTTTTGGAATCTCCATGGCAGGCTAGGCAAATGCCTCCTGGGAGGGGTGTGTGTGTGTGTGTGTATGTGTGTGTGTGTGCACGGTCAGCAGGACAGTGTCCTGTTCTGGAATCTCCATGGCAGGCTAGGCAAATGCCTCCTGGGAGGGGTGTGTGTGTATGTGTGTGTGTGTGCATGTGCGTGTGTGTGTGTGTGTGTGTGTGTGTGTGTGTGTGTGTAGGGGCAGGGAGCCTGGCTGACTGCCAGCTAACCTCTCTGCTCTTCTGCATCCACAGCCACAACAGATGAGGACGAGGAAGGGAAGCTGCCTGAGGACATCATGAAGGTAGAGCCCCTTCCTCCCTGGGCACTCTCTCTTGAAGTAGCGGCTGCTCAGTGAGGAGAGAGCACCAATGAGAGCATCCAGATTGGGCGGAGGGGGTGGTAGTAGGCAGCTACTGCTATGACCTGGCTGCTTGCAGAGTGCCATCTCCATCCAGCTGGGGACCACTGCCCTCCTTGGAGGAAAGACACTGCGGAAGTGAGGACAGGAGGGATGCCTGGTTTCCAACAGACTGTCCTGGGGCAGGCCTCCGGGCCCCAGATAGCTCTGAGTCAGTCCCCATCAGGACCAGGTCCCTGGCCCGTATCCTCCGCCCCAACATGCCCCAGCCCTGCTCGCCTGAGAAATGTGCATCAGGTTTCAGTAATCAGCCCTGGGGATTTATACTATGGCGGCTTTTTTATTTTCTTTAGCTAATGATCCTCTAGAGTTGGATTTTTTTTTTTTTTTCTGTTTTAGCTTTAAAAGTGAATATAAAAGAGTTTTGCAGTTGATTGCAGGCTCTGTTCCATCAGCACAAACTACATGGTGTAATTTCTTTCTTTTTAAAAAAATATATTTTGTTGATTTTTTTACAGAGAGGAAGGGAGAGGTATAGAGAGCTAGAAACATCGATGAGAGAGAAACATCGACCACCTGCCTCTTGCACACCCCCTACCGGGGATGTGCCCGCAATCAATGCACATGCCCTTGACTGGAATCGAACCTGGGACCTTTCAGTCCGCAGCCGATGCTCTATCCACTGAGCCAAACCGGTTTCGGCGACGTGGCATAGTTTCTTATTTCTAGCTTTTATAGTCATCTTTTCTTGACTTATTATGCTAGCCATTGCTGTCAGCCATACTCCCATTGTCCTGCCCTTACCTGGTTGAAAGGAAAGTCCAGGAGCTTCGGGGCCACAGGCTGATGTAGGAGTGAGCCCAGGCAGACCCTCAGCTTCCAGACCCCTGTCCTTCGAGAACTCCTCTGCGCCTGTCCTGTCCGTCTGAGGAAGCGGCCGGGGGTGGGATCCTGGCTGGCAAGCTCTGGCTCATTGGGCAGGGCCGTTGGGTGAGTCTGCCCTGGAGGGAGCTGACGGCCTCTTGTTCCTCTGTCCGCAGCTCTTGGAGCAGGAGCAGTCGGACTGGCAGCCGACACATGTGGATGGGAAGGGGTACCTGCTCAACGAGCCCGGGGCCCAGTCCACCTCTGTCTATGGAGACTTCTGCTGCAAGGAGGAGCCAGACAGCCTTGGGGGTAAGAAGCCCCTGAGGGAGGAGGGAGAACCACGTGGGGGGATGAGGGAGGAGAAGGTTTGGGGGCAGGGAGCAGCAGAGGTAAAGCATCCTTCTTGAACTCACCAGCTTGCACATTGGCTGTCGCGCCCACGCCTTTAGGCTTGCCTCAGGATGAGGGGTGTTGCGGCCATGGGATGGCCATGAGATGCTGCTGTATCTGTGGTCTTCAGGGAGGGGGCTAGAGGGGAACATACCTCCTCCCACTCCCCTGTCCTCATACATCCTTCACATCTTCCAGGGGATATCGGACTGAGCCTACACCGCGTCTTTACGGACAACATCTGGCTGGACAGCCTGCTGCCCCCAGTCCGGCTGCCCTCCATCCAGGCCATTCCTTGTGCGCCATAACTGGGTCCCCGGCTGTCTTTTGTTCTCCTACGCGAGCAGGACCCGGCATCACGGTGGCTGTGGTGCAGAGAAGCGAGACTCTTGGACATGCAAAGAGTGGGGATGGGGCCATCCTCGTTGGGATGGTGGCTTCTCAGGGCCTGGCAGGACAGGGCCAGTGGGGTAAAGCCGGCCTTGCCTCCTGGGAAAATGGGGTTCTGAGGCTGGTGACAGGTGGAGGTCTCAGACAGAAGTCAGCCCTCCAGGTTTTCCCTCTGAACCCAGCCGCCTAGAGAGGGTTTGGCTGTCACCGAGGGAGCAGACCGGTGGCCTCAGAGAAGCACAGCACCATCCCAGGGCTGGCTCTGCACTAAGAGACAATTGCACTAAGTGAATCCTGTTTCCAAAGAGCGTCTCCCTTCCCAGCTGAGCCCTGTTCCCTGTTCCAAAGTCAGTGAACTGTGAAGGAAAGACTCCTTCCTGCGGGGCAGTGGCTCCTCAGCCTCAGAGGAGTCCTGCCTCCCCGCTTGGGCCGAGGGGCTGGGGGGAAAGCATGGCACTTTTTCTTGTGAATCTTGCCACGTTTCTGGTCAGAGATGTACACTAACGTTTCCCACAGGTTCTCAACCTTTGCGTTTATTTATGCAGTGCCTTGTCCTGCGCCCGCCTGCCCTTCGGGCGGGCTGCAGCAGCTCTCCGCAGGCCCAGGGAGGGGAGTGTGAGCACCTTGGTATGACTTTTAAAATTGGAAAAGCTTTCTAACCACTAAGTCATATATGACCATAATATGTACAAGTGTGTAAATATGTACATTGTATTTTTATAAAAAGTGAATTGTTCTAAGGGGTGTGGCCTTTTATTTATAGAGAAATTGCAGATGAGTTTACTCTCTGGAGAGACATTGGGATGGCCTCATTCTTGGCATCCTGCCTGAGCGTGGCTATGGGGCGGGGTGACGCGCACCTATTGTAGGATCCTTTCAATTGTGTTCTCTCAGAGATGGCAGGAGGGGACAACCTTGGCACAGGGACAGACTCACGTAAATATAGTCGAGGCTTGGCTTTGGAGCCAGTGCTGTGAGTTGAATTTGGGTTTCTGGGGACTGGGGAGTGCTGGGTTTTAAGTACTGAGGAATGTGCCGTAGGCTGTGCATCCCGCTGAACTCAAACGCAGTGCACTCGGGTGCTCTTCCCCAGAGCGAACAGCTGGTGCAGCGCAGTCCTGGGCAATCGGAAAAGACGGCTGCTCAGAAGAGGCTCCGAGGCCTGCTGTGCCGGGTGGCATTGCTGCCCGATTTCGGCAGTGATGGGCATGTATAGTAGCAGTGGCAAAGTCACATGTGCCACCTGAGTACTTGGAATGTGGCCAGTGCAATGGAGGAACCGAATTTTAAACTTTATTAGTTAAAATTTAAGTAACCACTTGTGACTAGTATCTACTATATTGGACAGTACAGGTAGAAACTGGATTAGGGACAGACCTGAGGGGTGGGGTGGGGTGTTGAGAGAATACCAGGGACAGGGGCTTGAGGCTTTTTACCTGCCAAATCAGGAGTATTTTACTCTTGCCAGCTAACAGTAACCATCAGTGCTGAATTCCAGCCCTGCATTGTACTGTGAAATAGGTCCATGCACAGATGTGTGAGGAGAACCCTGGGTGACCTTACATGAAGCAGGTTTCCCTCCTCGTCTTTTCAGGGTCTGTCTGGGCTGATGCACACAGAAATTCTCTGAAGGGGTACATTGGTCAGAATGGTGTTTCTGAAAACCACAGGTTGGGAAGCACCGACCCATGCCAAAGCACCCTCCACATAAGGCCCACGTCACAGGAATATCTGAGGGTGAGAGGTCTGGATATGGGCTTTTCTCCTCTCTTTGGCATAAACAGTGCTCAGCAGTAGGCAGGCTGGCCGAGGGAAGCCTGCTGGCATCATTAGCATCATCTAGGGCCGTGGTCGGCAAACTCACTAGTCAACAGAGCCAAATATCAGTAGTACAAAGATTGAAATTTCTGTTGAGAAACAAAGTTTTTAAACTTATAATGCCACTTCTTCAAAATAGACTCGCCCAGGCCATGGTATTTTGTAGAAGAGCCACACTCCAGGGGCCAAAGAGCCGCATGTGGCTCTCAAGCTGCAGATTGCCGACCATGGATCTAGGGAATGAGGCCGTGGCAGGGAGGGGGTTGCTCAGGGAAACCAAGCCTTGTGGACACATCTTCCATATACTTAGTCCTAGAAACACTTGCACTGTGATCCCCTCTTGGAGGAATGGGCCCTTGGTGGGGAAGGAAAGGCTGAGGGAAAGAATGATGAGGAAATGGAACAAGGGCAAAGGTCAGTTGCACATGCTCTGCCAAGCTCATATTGTTCTCTGACCTTGAACATGCAGAGTGAATGACAGATGGGCTCCTGCTTGCGGGGGGGGTTTTGGGGGGGTAATTCTGCATGAAGGTGCCTGGATAGACCCCAATCTCAAGCCCTGCCCATCAGAAGGTCCACCTGGTTTTTTCAAGAGTAGCTTCACCTATGGGCAGAAGGATGGGTAAAGTGACCTTTCCAGCTCCGCCAGAGCCCAGCCCTTACGGAGGAAAAATGGATTGGGGTGACTAGCCCCCTGTGGCTTCTAAAAGGGGGCGTGGCAAAGACTTCTAGTGGGTGGCTTTTCCAGACAAGGATGGCTGGGGATGGTGTGAAGCCAGGGAGAGTGGAATGAGGACGGATGGAAGCAACCCAAAGCAGGAACTGCTTCGGACTTCTCTGTCCTTCAACCTCATCCCTGACAGAGTATGTTGAAGAGGGTACGTTGAAGTCCCAGGTACCTATGGAAACCTCAAGTTCTAATATGCCAAAGTTCACCACCAAAAAAAAGTTACCAGAATTGGAGAGGAATTCTGGGAATCCTCACCCAATCTCCAGAGCCACGCTGGAGCCCTGAGGACCCCCCCCCCCCCCAGCTCTTCTTATCCCAGGAGTCCTAACCACGGGACCAACGCCTTAGAGCATCCTGCACCCCCTCCTCATCATAATGGAGCTGGGTCCTGAAGGAGGAGTGTGGGACAGGTCAGGACCGTGAGCTGTCCTCCCCGCACCCCACCAAGGACTTCAGCCTATCCCTAACAGGAGAAACAGTAAAGTCTGCCTGCTCACCTAGGAGTGACGGCAGCTGACCCTAACTCAGCGGAACATCAGTTTAATCCGAGCCAAACTTGGGCATAATCATTTAAGGTCATTCCAAGAGTTTCAGTCTAAGCACCGAGTGAAGGTGGAGGCTCTTGGCTGAGGCAGCTAGGAGGCCATTGAAGTCTGCTGTGATGATATCATTATCATCAAGAAGCACTTTTCAATGGGGTAATCTGGCAACGTGAGGCTCAGTCATACCAGCGAGAACTCCTGCCAAGTCTACAATATTCAAAGGCGTTTCTGGGTACGAATAGGGTTTCCTTGCTTCCTCCAAAGGTGTCATTTTCATTGGGCTGGTTTACTCATTCTGCTCACTTGGCAATAGGAGGAAAGCTACAGCCTAATATACTAGCTGCCATACCGAGGCTCAGGGTGGCGGGAAATCTTTAGGGGACACAGATGCAAACTATCCCTTCTTAGTGTGTTGGTTTTCAACATCTCTCAGTGCCCCACATGCAGGATGAGAGCTTTCTTTCTCAGATGGGGACTGAGACAGGAGTGAAGTCCTAGGAAAAGCCCAGGGCCTGGTTGGGGTGGAGTCCTTTCCTCTGGGAGTGATGTCCCCTGGCTAGTGGAGCTGGTCATACCCAGGCTGTCATTCTCTGGAGCCATTTGGTCCTTCACAGTTTGCACAGAACCCCAAATCCCTGTATCGGTGGGGATCAAGGAGCCCTGCTGGAGCATCCAGGGAGCTTTGTCTCTTCCAGATGCAATGCCCTTGCTTAACTTGGGCGTGAGGAACCCTCCACTGGGAGGATGCCTGAAACGCATCAGAACACTGCACCAACCTTCCCCCACTTGTACCAGTGGTCGGTCACGGGGGCAGGAGCCTGGGGAGGGAGAGTGGGGAGCTGGTGACCTCTCTTTTCCAGGAGCGGAAGTTCTGGGAAGAGGGAGACTTGTCTTTGTCAGCCAGGACTCCCTGGTGAGGCCAAGTCTCGGCAGCACAAGGGAATAGCACGTTGGCCACATGGTTTTCTTAGCTCCAGGCAGCTCCCCAGAGACTCCGGTCTGATGACTTTCTGGGGGTGGCGAGTTGGAGAAGAAGCCTCCACTTCTGCAAGCTCCTTGGTGAGGGTCTATGTAGTTCAATTTCAATGGGGGAAATACTGACGGCAATTCAGCCAGGACATGGGGACCGAGCAAAAGGAAAGGCAGAGGTCCAGCTCGCCATCGCTTATCTAGCGCCACGAGCTCAGAAAGAGGCAGAATGGGAAGGACCTCAAAGCCTGGCTGGGTCATGATAACATAGTCCTCGGGTGCTCACCAGGACAAGGTGCCAAGCACCCCCTACGCACCGTGACTCCGGCACCCACCACAGCCCCTGCTTCACGGGCCAACCGGAGCTCAGCCGGCATTCGGCGTTTGCCTGAGATGACTCAGCTGATCTGTATGGGGCCTGGATTCCACCCCACAGCTGTCTGTGCCCAGAACCCAGACTGCTTCCACAACACCAGAGGAGGAAACTGAGGCCTGGGGAGGAAGACTGGCAGAGCTTGCCCGGGAGCAGGGCACTAGCACCTCATGCCAAGAAAGCCTTTGGAGACCCGGGGAGAAGGCAGCAAAAGCCACAGCCGCTCTGGGCTCTGTGCCGGACCCGCCCCTGCCTTCAGCACTCCTGACCTCCCACCCCAGGGGACTGCCTTTGCAGCCAGAGGCCCCAGTGGGGTAGGGTTTGTCTTGGTTCTCAAGGAGGGGGACGCCCGCCTATGCCCTGGAGGCCACCTGCAGTGTAGAGGAGCCTGGGCCCCAGGAGGGCGGCGCACAGACCGCCTGTGACTTGGCCTCCGTGCCAGTCTGTGTGTGAACCCGCTCCAGGGAACTCTGGCCTGTTAGCCCT